TGCTGAAAGGTTGCGAAAGAACCAAACTGGTTTGCAAATGAGTGTATATTCGCTAGTTACATGATTTAGTTTAGGCCAAGAGGCAGTCAGCTGGCTCCACTAGAATCTTCGGTCGAAAAATCGATCAAATCAACTGTGTGACCAACAAATTCAATTTGTAAGCATATATTGTATGTTGCTACAGTAGAACAGCGCATAGTCGATGGACCTGTCTGGTCGCTTACAAATCCAGGTAGCTTTTCGCATTCCCGCATGAAAGTTCAAAGTGCCATGACTGGGCTAGTTGTTGTTGCTTGGTGCAACAAAGTCTCAGGGTTGGACAGTCTGTACCTACACTACGGAGTTTCAATAAATGAGTGGAATTGACCGGGGAACGGATCCCTGATGAAGCCGGAACACTACGGAGTTCCAATAAATGAGTGGAGGTAACTGTACAATTCTGCGTCGTTCGGGTAACTTCGGTCCACCGTGATCCTTGGATAAGCTGCCGGGTTTGTTGCCGAAAAACGACATCAAGTAATCATACACATATGAAGTGTCTGGATCACCAAATTTATTCACTGAATCTTACGGTGTCGTGGCAGACGAATTCAACCCAAGTCAACCGATCATTCTGTCTCAAAGGACTCGTTCGAGACTTGGCCACTCCTGGGGAAGGATTTGAGAACTCTGAGGGTTCAAGGTCTCGAAACAGAGTTAGAGATCGACTAAATCCGGTGAATCGGCAGTGAGACGACCGGGGAACGGATCCCTGATGAAGCCGGCGGAATTTCGCCGAATTTCGCTGTGTACATACCGAATTACCTGCTTCAAAGAGGAGTGTTGCTTCCCATGTTCACTTCGGAGTGACCTAAAGGTGGGCAGAATGTAACTTGGCGAGAAGGAATAAACGAGTATACAGTAGGTCTGAATAATTTTGGGTTTGTTCACCTTCCAGGATGCGACCCACTAGACCCTTTCTATGGTAGACACTAAACGATGTGAGTGGCGTTCCTGCTGTCAGTTTCTATCCAGAACATACGACCGGATGTTGGGGGTGTGGGATATGGGCTATCCCTTTGTTCGAAAACTTTTCCAGTTTGGGATGATGATGATGATGATGATGATCGCGATGATGACGACGATGATGATGAGGTGAATGTAGACGGAAAGTGGAAGGAAAAAGTCCTGACAGCGGCATGAAGGTTGGCAGGAAAGAATATGGCTCGATGTGTGTAGAATGGGATTCAAAACGTAAACGTCGTTGTTGTCCTTACGTGACAATGGTCACCTGACCGGCGAATAATGTCTTTCGGATAGTATTGTTTACCTGTCAGCTCGTGGAACGTATTGTGAAGCGGCAACATGTCAGAAAACTAGTCTGGGCTGTCATGTGAAAACGAATTTCCAAAAGTGAGTGACCATCATTCTAGAAAGGCTTGATGGGCAATCAACAAATTTATTGCTAAGCAACACTAAGGCCTTTTGAGGAAAGTAACCAGGTAACCAGAGTGGTAGACTTCAAGGTAACAGCTGTGGTGATTGCCAGGGAAGTTCTCCACACATGTGGTTGGTAGGCTGCCAGGTGTCTCCCCCTTCCGACTGAATAGGGTCCTCTTTAGGAGAAGTAGTCCTCAAGCTAAGGAATCAGCTGATTGCTCAGTAAGGATTAAATTTTGCAGTAAGAATAACAGTGACTGGAGTGAATTAGATAGTTCCTAGAATGTACGTAATGCACTACTCATAAGGTTGCTGAAAATTACTTGGCAACACATGAACGGTTTTGCTCTTCTAATTCGGGCTCATCAGGTAGGCCTCGGGTTTCCCGTTAACTTTGTGTACTATTTAAACCCAAAGCTATGAGAAGTACACTCATTTGCATATCGAAAAGTTTTCAGCAACTTTATGAGTAGTGTGTAGTCCTTATAAAATAGTTTTATCTTTTGGAGACTAGTCTATCCGAATTGCCGTTAAGAGGGGGTCATAGTGTTTGGTCAACAAGCGATGAACATCGTAACAAGACAGGAAAGACTGACGCGTTCCAAAGATATGGAGGAAACTGAAGTGAAACGCACCGCCAGCGTGCTAAGGCCTGGCAACTGAGTTTATAGGTTTATAGCCTGAAAAGTTAACTACAGTTTGATCGAATTCGATCGAATTCGATCATGTATAGGTCACGCGACCGAAACTATTCATTCAACGCTTAGTTCACCTGTCTGTTAAGAAGAGCTGCATTGTTCTGTCATCGTTAACCGGAAGAGAAAAACCCGATCTATCCTAACGACCCTACATCGCTAGATCTTCAGTGTTTTCGTCCGTACAACTCGCAGTGATCTGCAAACCAGTTTTTAATTTCGTAAAGTGCGTGAGTTCGAACCTCGTTTCTGATGCACAAACATGTTCAGCATTCTCCGGGATTGAAGATCATTGAGGACAGCATGCTGGATGCCACTCAACAAGTAGACTGGATCAGCTCGGATGGCTTCTGCCACTAATGAGTGAAAATCAATGCATTCGAATAGGGATCTGACGAAGCGTTGTGTCCGATCGATAAATAACCTAACTGTATCGATCTCATAATTGGTGGTGATAACAGAACTCAGTGAAATGGCAGTGCGCGTTGCATGTGAATAACTGACGCAAAGAGCTACGGACCAATCCAGTCAACATGAGTCATCTAGTTAACCGAGAATTCACATTTTGACTCGCATGCCAAGTGCCAAAAAACGGTTCGAAAATGACCAACGAGCTGTTGCTCATCCCCAGTCTTCATCAATCTGATGCTCTGCTTCAATCCAAATTGGACGGAACTCGCCAGATCTCCTCAGTTGCTTCCGAATTTCGATTGGATGAGAGAATCAACGGAATTCCGTTGAATCTCTCGTCATTCAACCGAATGTAACGCACACAGGCAGTCTCATGTTTCAGTTGGAACGAAATTCGAGATATGTTCTTGAAGGAAACTACTCACATCCATCAGCTTTTCGAGTGAATACAGAAAGAGCCCGGGACCTCTTGCACGGATTTTGGCGCCATAGCTGTAAATCAATCAACATGCAGATTGACCAGCGTGCTACATCGGCTGTCGCGTTGTAACATCAGTCGAGTTGCTTTCTGTGCTGTATACAGTGGGGCGAACAAGTCAAGACATACGACTGATGATGCTTCATACCCCCCCTCGCCTTTATCTCTTAACTCCTCTTAATCACAGCTGAATATGTTTGTAGAAATGACAAGCCGCAAGCGACCACTCACATCAACCGCATGACCTCGTTCTTCTGTATTTGTTACAGCGTTGAAAGTGAAAACCCTTAACCAGATGGTCATTGCGCTGCTCTTGCGCCTACTGTGGATACTCCATCGTTGAAGTCTGATGAACCTCTGAACTTCACACAGAGGATATGAGCAGAGTTGTAGAGGTTACGACATCCTGTCTGTCTCTCTAGACCCTGAGGACTATGAACTTGCTGCGGTTATACCGCAGCGGCGTCAGCGGGTCGCCGCGGTGTTGGCACTGTCCCAGGTGCTGGGGCTGACAATGGGGGTCTTTGTGTCCCACCTTGGCAGGGCCGTTTAACGACAAGAAAGCGTTCCCGCCAATCAGTGTTGGAAAAGGATACCTGAACAGATGGCTCCAATCATAGCGGCATGACTCTCACGCTTGTCGTAACATGAGTAATGGTTTCCGCTATATTACTACGCAAGTCCGAACGTGTTTGATCGTCGGTGACTCCGTAGAACAGCAACGGTTCGCTGGCTGCAGCGATTACGTAGGCGGGTACCTGGTGTCATGAATGGAGCCGGTTTTACCCGCGGCGTAGAGGTGACATCAGCTTATCCAGCAACGATCGATTTTACAATGCTGTGGTGCGGTTCATTTTACTATACGGGTCTGAAAACTGGCTGAGAACGTCAAAAGACTTTCAGTGTTTGACCATCAATGTCTTCGGAGCATTGCCCGAATCTGGTGGGAACACCGGATCAGCAATTCTGAAGTATGTCGAATGGTATTCGGGAGAAATAACTCACCCTCGATAGATGAACTGATCATACTGAATAGGTTGCGCTGGCTTGGCCACGTGCTGCGTATGCCAGTCGACCGACTTCCTCGAAGGGCTCTTTTCGCCCAACCACGTGAAGTGTGGAAGAGAGCCAGAGGCGGTCAAACAATGACTTGGCAGCGACGTATGAAGGCCATTACCAGCAAACTCAGCTGCGCTGGTCACTGCCGTCTTCCTGGATGGGGACCCCGAGACGGGCTACATCAATCTTGTGCATCCAAGCTATTGCCTTCAATGCATAGCTCCTATTCCAACCAACCCCCGCCATTTGACAGCCCACTGACAGTACTGTATTTATGCCCCAATTTATCAGCTCCCGCCTGCAATGCGCAGCTACCTACCCCTCCCCCCAAATCATCGGTGAATGAAACTGCAGCAGCCACAACCACTGTACGATGAGTACGCTGTTATTAAAGCTCACAATGATGACGACGCCTGCCCAAGAAAGCGTTGCTTTCGTTTCCATGGGCACGTTTGACGAAAGGTTCACAGTTGAAATTAAAGTTGTTGCATTCAGACTGAGTGTGGTGGAATCATTTAGACTTACTACCTGGTGTTGTACGAGGTAGAAAGTCGATCAGCTCACTGGGTGAAGAACGTCCACTACCGGTGTTATGAGAATACCTTTCTTGTGGATTTCGGGTGGAGTGTAAAGTTGTGGTTGGAATACGCCATTTGAATCCAACCAAAGCCATTTACCCTGCTTTTTACCTGCCTCCTCATCTCAAACCTACATTGATTAACCACAGCTTACCGTTATGAACAGAATGCACCCTACTGTGGATTGACGGTTGGCAAACCTCGGGAAACCACTGAGCCGTACTGGGCAATGTTAGTCCTACCAGACTGGCCAGTGGATAGAGGTGTAACAAACACGGTCTCTGGATCCTCCTGACTGGTCCGATTCGTTCGGGCCAATAACGATGCCTTGCAGTCAGGTGTTTGAGTCGAGAGTCGTCATCATCCTCTTTCCGGGTTTGAACCTCGCGATTCCAGGAAAACACCGGCAGGTTTTACTAATGTATTAATATGGTTGACAACGGCAGCGATGGTGATGATGATCAATAAGGTGTTGTTTGATGCTCCGCGGAGAGTCCCCGCTACCCATGACGACGGTATCAATCCTATCTTTGGAATCAGAATATTCTCTACCGCAAAACGAAATTTGTTCGCAAATGAGCTTATATCGCTAGTTTTGTGTTATTTGATTCAAGGAGAACATAAGGTTGACGGAAGCTTGTGGATGGCATCAATCAGATGAACCCTAAGTCACAGGGCGAAACCGGTCGTGGGCTGTCGAGGAATTTTCAGCAACCTTATGAGTAGTGCATTACGTAGTTCTAGGAACTATCCATTTCGCTCCAGTCACTGTTATTCTTACTGCAAAATTAGCCTTACTGAGCAATCAGCCGATTCCTTAACTTGAGGACTACTTCTCTTGTTGCGGACGCTATTCAGTCGGAGGGGGAGACACCTGGCAGCCTACCAACCACATGTGTGGAGAACTTCCCTGGCAATCACCACAGCTGTTACCTTGAAGTCTACCACTCTGGTTACCTGGTTATTATCCTCAAAAGGCCTTAGTGTTGCTTAGCAATAAATTTGTTGATTGCCCATCAAGCCTTTCTAGAATGATGGTCACTCACTTTTTGGAAATTCGTTTCATATGACAGCCCGGACTAGTTTTCTGACACGTTGCCGCTTCACAATACGTTCCACGAGCTGACAGGAAAACAATACCAACCGAAAGACATTATTCGCCGGTCAGGTGACTGTGTGACCATTGTCACGTAAGGACAACAACGACGTTTACGTTTTGAATCCCATTCTACACACATCGAGCCATATTCTTTCCTGCCAACCTTCATGCCGCTGTCAGGACTTTTTCCTTCCACTTTCCGTCTACATTCACCTCATCATCATCGTCGTCATCATCGCGATCATCATCATCATCATCATCATCCCAAACTGGAAAAGTTTTCGAACAAAGGGATAGCCCATATCCCACACCCCCAACATCCGGTCGTATGTTCTGGATAGAAACTGACAGCATGAACGCCACTCACATCGTTTAGTGTCTACCACAGAAAGGGTCTAGTGGGTCGCATCCTGGGAGGTGAACAAACCCAAAATTATTCAGACCTACTGTATTCTCGTTTATTCCTTCTCGCCAGGTTACATTCTGCCCACTTTTAGGTCACTCCGAAGTGAACATGGGAAGCAACACTCCTCTTTGAAGCAGGTAATTCGGTATGTACACAGCGAAATTCGGCGAAATTCCGCCGGCTTCATCAGGGATCCGTTCCCCGGTCGTCTCACTGCCGATTCACCGGATTTAGTCGATCTCTAACTCTGTTTCGAGACCTTGAACCCTCAGAGTTCTCAAATCCTTCCCCAGGAGTGGCCAAGTCTCGAACGAGTCCTTTGAGACAGAATGATCGGTTGACTTGGGTTGAATTCGTCTGCCACGACACCGTAAGATTCAGTGAATAAATTTGGTGATCCAGACACTTCATATGTGTATGATTACTTGATGTCGTTTTTCGGCAACAAACCC